TTTCCCTGAAATAACAGAGGCTGGGATGTAGTGAGCCGTGGATCACATTAAGGCGAGCAGATCTGTGTAACTGGAGGAACTTTGTTAGGAGAGAGAAGGCGACTGTTGATTCCTGTAACTATTAACTTCTTGAGGGCCACATATGGTAACCCAACATCATCCCCTGGTCTGATAGTGTATAACTGTGATGTGGGTATCAAATGACCCAAGGAAAAATGCAACCACTTTGGCTGCCTGCTTGAACACATGAGGAGATACGCTGTGAGCTCAGGCCATCTGTGGTTTTGAAGGCAGAAGTTAAGCTTTGCCAGGAATGCTTATGTGGGCACTTGTGTAAATGTGTGTGTAATCCACACAATATGTGTATCTGTATGTAATCCATACAATCACTTTGTTCTATATACAAAGACAGGATTCTCCAGCCACTGTGCTAAGCAGTAACTCTACTGCATGTGAGAATGTGCATTTTTTAAAAAGATATAAATGATGCTTTTTTTAGGTGAACAAAACATTCAGGAGTTATCACAATTATTGAAGATAAACACAGTTGTCAGGGGAAGTTTTATGGATATAAACAACATGTCTTTCATGTTAATTTCAAAATTGCACATAATTACTAAATCCTTCCCATATGAGCCTTGCAGCTTGTGTTCTTCAGCTAGATAATATAGTGTATATTTTCGCCTCCATAGTTCCTTGATTGAAGTTCAGTGATATCTGCAACAATATTTTTTATTCATTTACTTGTAATTCAGTTTAACCTAATTAGAAATAGCTATCGATAACTCTTTATGTTTCAAAGTCATTACACGACTTGCATCAGGTGTCATCACCAAAAATTTAAAATTGAGAATTTAAATTGAAATTTACAGTTGTCAGTAAAGAGGTGGTACGCTCAGCATGTTGTTGTAAGTCATTCACCTAAACCTTTAATTTAATTTTAAAACTGCATCATGATACTGTGTCAGCTGGTGGATCCTGTGTGCGAGGAGATCCAGGTGCGGCTGCTGAGCTGGGGACAGAGTTTGAGCACTCACGCTCAGCTGCTTCACCTTCTGCTCTTCTTTTGTCATTGTCCTTTTTCTCTCAGCTTAGTATGGCTGTCTTTTTTCTTTTTTTGTTTGACACCGATTTTTCTAGGGGAAAGACATAATGCTAATGAGATTATAATAGTTTGGGGTGTCTTGTGCTTGAAGAGGAGCAGAGTCTTAGTCCAGTTTTATGCCAGACACCATCATAATGAGGTACTTTATTGTGGATGGCCTAACAACCTGCTCAGGGTCATAGCAATCATCTGACAAGTCCTGTGATTCACAGACAAATCACTTATGACGGAAATGGCCCAAAGGATGTGATTTTAACATGATACCCTTTAAGTCAACATCCAGAGTTTGCGTATGGATAGACTGCAGCGCGGGATTCGGGATATTCCATCAGGGGCCCAGTTTTGAAAATGCGCTTCCTGCCGTTCTTCATCAGTATTATGAACTCACTCCCTTATGAATGAAAATACAGGGCAACAGATTACTATGGGTAATCTTTTTTTGCATGATATATTGTAATACAGTCCTCATCTGAAGCAGCAATTCATGTTTCAGAGGCGCCATCTGCCAATAATTAAATTTCAGTTGAGACCCGGGACAGCCATCCAGAGCAGCATGACAAAGCAGTGGCAAAAAGTTTGATGGTTGAATTCAGAAAATTTGTTTCACAATAAGAAATTATTTCTTTAAACCTAATGTATTTGTAGTTTGGAAAATATTTGTGCTCCTGAAATAATCTGCTAATTCAAAGGATAAAAGAACCTCTTCTTCATAATCCAACATACGGCTGCTTATTGGGACTTGGGCCAAACCTTCACCTTCAGATCATCCGCAACAACACTTTGGATGAGTTTTAAAGGCAGTTCAAGAGAACACAGGAGGCAACTTCAGTTATCTGTCTTTAACTGAAAAAGCAGATACTAACTTAGATAAAAATTAGCTGAAGCAACTACTCATTTTTCATGTACAAAGGGGAAGTTTTCTTTATGTTAAAGTTTAAACGTGTCACCCAAAAGCAGTGGCAGTCTGGGGGCAAAGATGGAATCAGGAAAGGTGGGAGGTTGAGAAACAGCTGACAAAGTTTAAAAAATGAGTTAATGTTAAGCATGTTTTGCTATCCAGGAATTAAACTGAATGCCAGCCGGTTCTTAGCAACACTATATAAATTAAAAGAAATACAAAAACAAGTCTACCAGTTCCTCCACATGTCCCTGTCACCGGGTAGCTGTTAACACCTATGTTAGTCACTCCTTCAGCAGGCCATGAAATTGTTCCAGCTTTTAAAATGTGTGAGAGAATTAAGACAGGTGCTGGCAGATCATAAATGAAAATCTAACCTTCAGGCTGGTACAGTGGTAACATTGTTACTGTTTGCAGTCTTGAAAACACATGGCTTGTCAAGTTGCAATAAAATTTATGTTGTGCTTTTACATTATTACAACTCAGTGAGGTCTCTGGAATGCCCACAAGAAGTGTGAGACTTACAGGTCTAAGAAAATACCTTAATTATTGATACTCAGTGTGTAAGTATATAGTTTTTTTTGTTGTCACTGACTTTGTTTTACTTAATAGCTGTTGGATTACTTAAGGCAGAAGCATGCTTCAGAAGGTTCTCACACATCTGCTGTTGGAGAAATCGAACACTGAACCATCTACGATCCAATTAAACCCTAATGACTTCTCTAAGAAACCTCTCAGTATAATAATACTCATAAAAACAGCATATATATTCATATTTTAATTTTACAGAACAAATATCATTTTTGCATAAAAAAAATAGAATCAAGAGAGTCATTTTCAGTCCAGTAATATTTTTCCTGAGCTCTTATTTAAACATGAAATCCAGTTGATTGCTAGGCAGCTTCTTATCTCAAGCAATCATTTCTGTTCTCTAAAAGGAGTCCTTAATCTTCAGTTTCTCACAAGGTTCCTCTTATGAATAAAACTGTGTAGAGTCTTACCACCTATGAACTGTCCAGTTTCTGTCTTCCCGTTTGCCAAAACTTACACCAGACTGCAAAGTGAAAGCATCGAGACTGTATGTGAGGTTTCTGTTAAAAAGTCCAGATGAAATTCCTTAAGTCCTTATCAGTTTTAGGAAGCCTGCATATTATTATTACTAACAGGAAGGTAATTTAATTACTCCAATGGCTTATTTAATCACTGTATAAAGAATTCCTTGAATTTTTGTGTCACATCTAGCCCTATATGAAAATCTCCTAATACAGTTTTAGGGAATTAGAATTATCCTGGTAGAATGGAAAAAAATACTCTTTTGTGTATCCAGAAATACATGTGTTGCCTGAATATACTTGTTTTCCTAAATTTAGCACTGAAAGATTGTCTTAATTTCTAATTTGCCTTACTATGTAGGAAGAACAGCAGGAAACATGATAGGATGATTAACCTACTCTTACTATTTTCCCTCTTTCATTTTCCAAAAGTGGGTCGTACATTTGTGCTTTTAAACTGTATTTTGGTGTCACTTTTTTGGTTCTGTATCCAAGATCGCCTTGTAGGCTAGTGCTGTGCAATGTTAGGGATGTATTCCAGTGACAGTCCTGTGAGGTAGCAAGGTAATGCTATTTTCAATTGAATGGGTAGGGAACAGAGGCACAGAAGGGTAAGAGCAGCTTTCTTGTACATAACTGCCTAGTAATTCAGGATCCCTCTAGACAGCTACTGTTAGGTGATCTATCACCCCCCCAGTGACTGAGCCTGGATCCCATTAAAGCCTATGGCAGGCAGTGTGCTGAACTCACATCTTCCAAGGCCTACATTACTACTCTGACTGCGAGAATGTATATCCTTTCTGAAATAAACAGATACATTATGCTGAAGGACAGGGATTTGAATACTGCTCTTTCATGTGGCTTGGCAAGAAGCACAAGCTTTATTATTTCTCTTATTAAATAAGTGAAAATGTCATCCTTCACCTTGGGCTTAATGGTTTGTGTGCTGATTGCCTTTCACAGATACTACACTCTCAGGGGAAATCGGCACCAAGAAAAAAGTGAAAAGACTGTTAAGTTTCCAGAGGTATTTCCATGCATCCCGGTTACTGCGTGGAATTGTACCACAAGCCTCTCTGTACCTACTGGATGAGGACTACCTTGGGCAAGCAAGGGTAAGATGGGTCTCCTGATCTCCCTTGTTTTAAATAATATTCCAGAGAATGTCAGTTTTGTTTCAGTGTTCTGATAAGCAAATATGTGACTGATCTTTCTTAAATTACCCACGTTACTTGCCTGCCTCACAGCAAACAGACTGTCCATTCCTCCTTTGTGGTTACAACTTTGAAGGCTTAGTCTCAAAACAAAAAGAAACTGTCTAAATCTACTCAGCATTTTCAGATTCTGTCAACTGAAGTTACAATCTTGATTTATAAAAGGATTAAGTGTATCCCTGGCTGAGATACTGAATTAAGTAAGTGCAGCCTCAACACAGGATTTAGTTCATCCTCTTGAAAAGAGACATCTGTCTCTCAGCTGGCATGGAGCAGCTATTAGGCAACCCAGTATAGCTCTCTGACATGGCAAAGGTTAGGAAACAGGGCAAGTTCACTGCAAAGAATTTCACAATAATCAGAAGGTAATTCTCTTATTTTGCAGCTCTTACACTTGCTTTGAGTGCTGTTTTCTTACAAAACTTGCACAGCTGGTGGCATTGGGGTTATGTGCCCAGGCCATTTTTATTCTCTGCAATAGAAGACTACGTGCCAGGTGTTAGAAAGTAATTAAGAATTCAGAATGGTTTTGGATATAGACCAAGTGATGGAAGTAAACACACATTTCATTCACACAATACACCACTGAAGGGTTGTGTAGTCAGTCCAGACTTGGTCTCTTGGTTGAACTGATGTAGCTGTAAAAATGCTGTGTATGGTGATAATGATGGATTCTTCTGTGTGGCTGAGGGGGCTTCACACAAGCACTGTACCTAAGTTTATAAAACCTATTTCTGTTTCTTGGTTTGTTTAGCAGAATGCAACTCATCTTCACTGTGAGAGCTAATATTGTGATTTACTGTAAAAAAAAAAAAAATCTGAGAGAATTTGTACTGAACTGATTTTGGAATATGAAAGAACAATTAAAAAGCTGTACAGTAAAAGAGACTATGTTCATATGTTTTGGTTTATATTATTCCACAATTGGAGCCTGATATGGAAGATATTTTAGTGTCAAGTCCAAAACCTCCTCAGTTAGAAGTGCAAGTGGTATTTTATTCAGTATAGCTAAATTTGGTTCCCAATGTCAGATATTTCAAATACATCTCTAACACTTCCCCATGCAAAACTTTAATGCTGCAGCAACCAGTCCTGTGATTGATGTAGAATGCTAAGTTAAATCTGCTTTACAGTTTGATATACCAGTCATTTGCCTTTTCATATTTGCTTTTTCTAGCACATGCTATCCAAAGTGGGAATGTGGGATTTTGACATTTTCTTGTTTGACCGCTTGACAAATGGTAAGTAATTTTTAAAAGATTTTATCTGAATATGACTATTATAAAAATCCCTAATTAATTAATTGCTGAACGTTTCCAGTTTAGATCACTGAAGAGAAATTAGACACAGTTAGCTTCTCTTAAAATCACATCCTTGAACATTTTCAGGCTTTTCCCAGAATGCTCACATCTATAGGACAGTATTTTAAGTGTGGTTTTGTATTAATCTAATCTCCTATATTTATTGTGGTCACCTTTTCAAGGAGGTGTTTCAGTTTCCTTTACCTGGGAAATTCCAAAGGTACTTTGAATTAGATACATTGGTTGATAAGTCCAGACCTCCATAATCAGTCGATTTATTTCAATGTGAAATACCTTTAAATGAAGATACCCATGCTTCTATTCAGCAGCAAAAATTAGGAAATCCATTAAGATGGTAAAAACCTGCGAAATATTTTGTCTCAGTATATGCCTGTAACAGCACCCTGCTCCTCCCCGCTAGTGCCTAAGCAGTGCTTCTTGGTAACTGCTGAAGAGGGTCATGTTCCCACCTTCCTCCTTTCAGTATTGCTCATAGGAACAAGATCCCTCATTCCTTAACCCCAATCTAATTAGTTTTGGCTGTGGCAGAACATGCAGAAAAAAGTTGGTTTAGAGGGTACTTCAGCTGAGGGACTGGCAGTGAAGAGTGGAAAGGGCTGCAGATGGCAAAGGAGGCAAAGGCATAACTCTTCTAAATTACCTTTCTGCACCCCTGCTCAGGAGTGAAGACCAAATAAGTTTCCATGTCCTCTTTGTACATGTATTTATTTTCTTTCCTGAGGTCCATTAAATAATTCAAACATTGTTTATACATCGTATGGTTTGGTTGGTTTGGAGTTTTGTTGCTAACTTCTGGAGACGTTGCTGCTGAATTGTGCAGTGCAACCTTTAAAAGATGTGGGATGGACAGTTGATCGTGTAATAGTGGTTAGGCCCCGTTTTGCCAGTATTCCCGGTGTTGGATTCACAGTAAGGTCAGTGTACATTACAGTGGGACTGGAGACCATAAATGCCGAAACTCATCTTTTCTGCATCATCACTAGGAGATGTAATTGTAGCTGAGCTAGGTACATGGGTTAATTACATGTTTGTACAACCATGTGTAGAATAAAAAATGTACTTACAGACTGCTGATTTCTCAGTTGTTAATTAGTACAGTATGGCAAACTGAAGTGGCAGAGAAGACATTCTTCTTTCTGTCATTTCTGGAGGTAGACCTGGATTATGAAGATGATGTGGCTCTCAAACAAGCCTGTCAAGACCCTTCCAGTTAAAAGCATGTCAGTTCACTATCTGTGTCATGTTGAAGCAGCGTGTAGACAGGAGAGTGGCCACCAATGATACAGCCATACCATCAAATCTTGATTCTATATAGGAGTCATTTGAGTATGTGAGTGTCACCTAAGCTCATATGATAGGAGCTAAGGTGATGGGAGCTGACTCATAGAACATTACCAAGATTTTTAGTCTTGCATGGTTTGCAACTACATGTCAAGGAGTTGTTACTTTCTGCTAAGAGTTGTTACTTTCTGCTTTTAGGAAACAGTCTTGTAACACTGCTTTGTCACCTCTTCAATGTGCATGGACTTATTCACCATTTCCAGTTAGATATGGTTACATTACACAGGTTTTTAGGTAAGTGCTCACCATAAAGATGTCTTTAAATGCGGTTTACAGCTGAAGTAAGGCATGAAAGAAGGCACCAGCTTGGTCTGCATATCTGTGTAAGCCATGATGTTGTTGCAAATATTTCAGTAAAAAAAAAATCTGTGATATATATTAGTATACCATTTACAGGGACTTGGGTACTTGTCTCACTACTTACTAAGTCAATGGAGGGACTTCAGAGGGCTCTGCACTGGGCTGAAGCATCCCAGTACCACACATACAGTGGGGATGGAAAATGAAGTGTGCCAGGCAGAGACGTGGCTGCCCAAATGGGCCCAGGCAGACACTGCAAAACCTACCCCTGCACAGCACAGTTGTGGTGCAGTGTCATTATTTTAGTCACTAATAGACCACTGAGACCCAGGGCAGTTAAAAGCTTATGTGCAAAATTTAACAAATTATATCAAGCTGTCTGCACTGAATAGTGTTGATGAAAGCCCCTGCTGCTGTTATTGCCAACAGAAATATTAGCCCCATGCTGTCAGCAAACCAAAAGAAGAAACTGGCCAAAATCAGTGAGTTTTTGCATCATGTTTTGAGTGCAGCTGAATGCCGGTTTGTTAGGCTGTCACACTGAGTTTCGAAGGCAAGGCCTCTTCTTTAAGACTGCATAATTGTCACTTCTGGGAAGCATTCCTCTGGCGTGGAGGCAGACAGAATCTCCCTGCCACTCCTGACTCTGGTGAGCAGCCGTGAAGTGGATGCTCAGATAACTGGAGCTAGTGGTGTTCGGGGTTTAAAGGATTACCCACTGTAACTTCAAACGCTTGTAGAGCTGGAAACAAGCAGAAGACTAGGACTTGGAGACAAGTACCATGTCCCTTACCCTTCTGCTTGATTGATTTGATAGCGTCTAGGAGAGCACCTTGAGCAAGGTCATGTGCAGCTTCCACTGTTGATGTGGTGTTGCCCTGAGACTACCTCATGGTGCAGGCACTGCACCAGGTGAGCAAAGTAGACACCTTCCAGGTTTTCTATGATAGTTAAAAGGCTGTCTCTCAGTCTTCCAGCTGGACCAGTTCCAGCCCTGCACAGTAAAACAAGAGGGACTTGTATTTTAAAATGGGTGGTTAGATGGGACAAAAATCATCACCGAAGATTTTGCTCTGAATACCCCAATGCTTTATCTTTTGATTCTCTCTCTGGAGGATGTAGGAATGCCTTTGACCACTGCTAGTCATTCAAGTAACAAATGATGCCGTGTTGTCAGGGCCTCACCCCCTGACAGTGTAAAATAGGTGAGACTGCCTTAATGACATTACTCCCCTATGACAGCAATGTAAATAATTACACTCCATTGAGGATAAATTTCCCTCTCTTCCTTATTTATTTTACTCCTGAATGAGAGCCTTCACTAAAGCAAGAAAGAGTTGATTTATGAACTGGAGCCAGTATATCCCCTTGGGCCTCACAAATCCTTTCATGCATTTTTTCTCTAAAGGTATCCCAGTAAGAGCACCAGTCTAAGTAAGCTACAGATATTTGAAGAAACTCCTTAGGCAGCTGACTATAAAACCTCAAATTGTGTTTTAAATCCAGTTTCTACTTGTTGCCATGGCATTCAGAGACAAAAGGATCTTTATTTTCTGTTTTGGTTCCCAGTTATGGTTCAAGAAGATTACCATAGCCAAAACCCATATCACAATGCTGTCCATGCTGCTGATGTCACACAAGCTATGCACTGCTATCTGAGGGAGCCCAAGGTAATGACAACATTCACTCTGATGTTGCTTTCAGATAATTCTCAATATTTTACCTTTCTAGGATTGGAAAAACAAAACAAAACAAAAAAATAGCAGAGAATATTGCATACTTGAAGTGAGCAACGAGGCAGCAGCAGAGTCAGCTGCAGATTACAGACACTTGAAGCAAGCTCTGCAGTCACTATTCATCACACAGCTGACATATCAAAGTGCTGGCATATACGTTCCAGCAAGTTCTGCCATGCACCAGCCAACTGTGAGTGGCTGCTTTACCCCCAGCCAAGCCCAGCAGTGCCTGCCCATGCCTCCCTCCCTTCAGGGCACAAGCCCCTCACTTCCATATTTCAGAAGACCAAAATTTGGCAGTGCAACACCAGGAAAGAGGAAGACATTCCCTTTGAATCTGTCTGCTGCCAGAATGTCCTCTGCTGCAGCCAGCCCTCGCAGCTTGAGGCTGTGACGTTGCTGTTGGTGTCACTGGAAGGTGCTGTCGTGCTGTAATGCTGAGCCACAGTGTAAGAATAGAACTCATCTTTCCTGGCTTGACTCAACTGAAGGGAAGTTCTGCTAGAACTAGCAAACTGTTAGACTAGAATATAGAAATGGTAAGTGAGGACAGGAGAGGGTCCCAGCTTTCCTGTATTTCCATCTCCTGTGAGATCTGCAAGTCCCTGCTGTCAAAAAGTGCAGAGGACATAAGATCTCCAGAATCCCTACCATACTGCTTTTCATTCCTCATCACAGGATGCTTCTTTCAGCTCATAGACCTGTACTTTGTACAGACTCATTGGACCAGTAATAACTGCCTCATGCTCAGGAACACAAAATGCTAAGACTTCAATTTCTTTCCCCGACAATAACAAAATTTGCTTCTGAATGATAAGCAGTATAGTAGAAAAAAAAATCTGGGCAGTTTTTCAAATTTGAATGTCTGAAGCTAGAAAGGTAAATCATTTCTCTAATACAATGCCTGTCTTTGAAATGAGATATCCAGTAGCCAAGTTTGACATTTCAAAAGTTTATAAACTCTGCATTTTACAGCACAGTACTGTGCTAGAAAAATGAAGCTCGATGTACTGTTGGTATTACTAAATACTGTGTGAAGCCATGTATGTTCCTTACCATGTATGCTAACATATGCCAACCTGAGAGCATACTTATTTTATAAAACTGAACCATTTAGCCTAAGCTCAAGCGCTTCTTAAAACAACCATCCTAACATTGCCAGAAACAGTAAACAGGTAAGAAGTACAAACTAATAAAATATGAGTATATGGTCTAATACATTTATAGATGCTAGTTCAACAGTCACCTTTAAAAAGCTGTTATATTTTACATTTGTGTACTGTCCTACAAAACTGACCAATGCCATGATATTAGCTGATTCCTTTATCTGCCAAAAGAAAAAAATAAATGAGTATTGTTCATGTTCTTGTGATGAACATGCCAACTTGATTAACATGCTGTGATTCAGCTTGCCAACTTCCTCACCCCGTCGGACATCATGCTCGGACTGCTGGCTGCTGCAGCTCATGATGTGGATCATCCAGGGGTCAACCAGCCTTTCCTGATCAAAACTAAACACCACCTTGCCAGCCTGTACCAGGTGAGACTGCTCATCAAGTGGATGGTATATACACTGGTGTCAAGGAGGGTCTAAGCAATTTGCAGTGAAATTTCACGCCTGAATGTGGCAGTGGGGGGATGTTGATCAAATCAACCTGCAATTTAGAGTCTGGAAAATGTCAGTGAAGCTCCTCACTAGGTTTCTCTTCTTACAGCAAAGCTGATAAAAATGGGAAAGAAGGTGGAAATGTCAGATTTGGTTGAGGCCATTTAAGCCAAGTCGGTTGCCTGGGTTATTTCTACTGTAGATCTTCTGGGGTAAGGAAACATGTAGGAGGGCTAAAATCACAGAGAAATAATTTGTTCTTCATCTTCTTTCAGTGACCAAGGAAGCAGCAGGCATGATCTAAATTAGCAGTACTATAAAAGAAACCTTTACTTCATGCAGCTCTAGTAAAACTAAATAATTAATATTGCAATTAAAAAAAAAAAAAATAGTAGATAGCGGAAATCAAGGGAAAAGTTGTAGATACTTACCCAAACGTGCCTAGAGATATAAGGAAAGACATGAAAACAGCCAGTGTAGGTCACACCACAGGCTGTCTAGACCAGTATCCTGTTTCTGAGAGCAGCCAACAAGACATCTCAGTGAGAAGCAGAAGCCTGGGATAAGTACCAAGTTGTCCTTCACCTGGTATAGTTCCCAGCTCTGGGAAGCAGTAGTAGAAGACTTCCTGAAACAAAAACACAGACCCTCTTGTTCAGTAACTACCAACAAACTTATCCTGCCCTGATTTCTGTGGTCCTTTTAAAATTTATTTGTAGTCTTGGCCCATGGCAATCACTGTAGCTCTGGATTTTATCTACAGCTGTCCTGTGTGTACAGTCTTTGCACACGTGCTTGTATATGCATATCTCCACTCTTTATTTACATATACATGCCAGAGCAATGCTGTAAATCACTTTGGTTGCACTAACCATAATACATAGCTAATTAATGGAGGTGGTATTGGTTTGTAATAAGGTATCAGAAGCAGAATATCCCAAATTAAACATTAATCTAACTAAAGAAGACTCTCAGCTGTGTACCTCTACACATCCTTAACAAGTGGAGAGTAGTTGTACCCCCATTCCTGTGTGATGCATTTTGCTCCAGACTTCCCTAAGTGTCAGGCCAGCTGAGGAGAAAGGGAGAAAAGCCAGGGGACTTCAGGAAGGTAATGTTAAGGAAGCTTTGAAGAGAAGTCGGGAGAGCCATTCCACAAAAACCCTGCCTCTACTAAAAGGTATAAACAACACATTAATAGTGGGAAACAGCAATATATAATTAGGTTGAAAGTTCTGGCTAGTCTGAAAGATCTGTAGCTAAAATAAAGTACTACTATCTTGATGACATGGCTTCTGCTCAGCTAACTGGGCTAGAAGATATTTTCAAATGTTGGTTAGAAAAGGCAGTGACAATACAGCAAATGTCATCTTCCAACAGCAAATGTGATTTTTAAGTATTCTGTTCAGAAATGTTTACTAGCAAGCTTTACTTACATTATTTTATCTGAAATTGATCCCAGATTGTTTCCAAAGATTTTAGTAGTACACAGTATATGAATGCCAATAAAAATAACAATGCTGGAAACAAGTTTTGCTGACAACACTTTTAGTCAAAAATTTAGATTAAGTGAATAGTCTTTAAAACAATAAATTATATTCTTCTCAAGATTGGGACTTTAACATGTGCTTGAAATGGAAACAAAAAAGTTCTAGGGCTTTTAGTTTTTAAATGGCAGAGCCACAGAACTGCTGGGGCTAATCAGAAAAATAACCAAACAAAAGTAAATTAGAACATAGTTGGCAATCATCTGTCACCGAGACAGTATTAACTGAGGCTTAAGATTACCTGCTTGTGGCATCTCTTTGTTCTTGATTGTAAATTTAAGTTAGAACTTTACATTTGCAAAAGTAAAATAAGTTTTGCAAAAAGAGGTCTGTCAGTATTTGACAAAAGATTCAAAGTGTTTGACAAATTCTGAAGGGCATGTTTGAACAGAATCATGTTTCAGGAAGATAGGTGTGATCACCGAGGAGTTCAGAACTTGCAATATTAATTTTCAAATTAAATCCCTATTTTATGATGCAAGACCCAAGACTTTTTTTTTTTTTTTTTTTTTTTTTTTAATCTACAGGGTAATTTCAACAATAGTCCTTTGCATGTGAGGCACCATAATTTTCCTCAAAAACAAGAGTGCCTCATTCAAGTTTTTTCAGTTGAGAGTGTGAAATGTGACAGTAGGGACCTGGAGGTCACTTTGCCTCCTTGCTATGTGATGCAGACTTTGCTTCTAGTTTTTATTGACCATTAAAATACATGGTAAAAGTTTTATTATTGCTTAATTATAATTGTCTTAGGCCTCTGTAACCTTAAAAGTCACAAATAACTCAAATTCTACTACATTTGGCTTATCCAACATTATTTCTGCTTCTTTATACAGAAAACAGCATACAATTCATACAATTCAAGGTGTCTCAGCCCGATACAATCCTGCCTTGTATTTATCCAAAACTCCACACCAAACCTAACACCAGAAGTCATACTGCTTTTTTAAAAAAAAAGAAAAGTAACTTTATTTTCTTGAAAATTATGTATTAATTCCTATAAATTTCTAATTTAATTATCTTTTTCAGGTATTTAACGTTGTGTAGTTAAGCCCATTGCTCAATGACTAATAATGGATGACCAGATTGAAAGAAATTAAGAGATCACCTTCCACTCTGAACTAAAATTAATTAAAATCTAATTAATAGCAAGTCTTCCTCTCCAAGTTATTCTTTTCCAAATGCGTATGTCAGGTGTGGTGGTTTGAGCAGCTGACAGGAAGTCACAGATTGGAGATTTTGTGAGACTCTAAGTGAAAAGTTGTTTTTTTCTTCACAGTCCTGAAGTCTGTGTTACAGCCATCCACTAATTTTAGACAGAGGCTTCCTAGGATGCAGCCTTTGAGACAAACCTCTGCTGCTCCATTTTGAGAAGCATAAGAAGTTATGGGAAGCAAGCTCTCTGGAGATCAGAGCTGAGAGCCCCACTCTGCAAGGCAGCATGGAGACTTTTCCCTTCATGGGTTGTCTCCCCACCAGCCAAGACAATCAGATAGCTCACGGCAATTAGCCTTAATAAGTTAGCAGAGTGTTCCTAGGTGGAATAGCTGACTCTGCTCAGCTTCAGGGGTTCTGGCTGCTTGCATTTAACAGGGCAGTCATATGACTTCATGCTCCGTTGTCACTTTTTAGCTTGACCTTTCCTTTTCCTTCCTCCAAGAGCTTGAAGTGTGGGGAGCTAGGCAGCGCAGCAGCTTCCCTCCCTTTCAGTGCTCCCTGCAGCAGCAGGCAAAGAGCAGGAACTTACAGGAGTTGAAATGCTCTGGGATGGTTACCTGAGTTTACTTTTCCCTTTGAGTAACTATTAGTTGGATGAAAGAGAATTCTTCGATACCTGCACACTAAGGTGTGTGGCCAAAGAGCAGCTGCATCCATGGAGTGTAATTCCCAGGTGAAGCAGGTGCTGCTGAAGCAGCTCCTCCCAGCAAGTAACACCACTGTGCTGGAAGGGACGTGGGGGCACAGGGTGCTCCGAGGGGGTTCTCCTCAGCTGGGAGGTTCCAAGGGTACAGACAGACTGGGGTGGCAGGAGCTGTGCACACAGCTTATTTTATTTGAAGGTCTTAAACCTTCCCAAAAGCCAAAGGTGACAGTCAGGCAGGGTTTGTCTAATTTACCTTAGGGTGGGAAGATGGCAGCCTGTGGATTTGAGGTGACTGTTGGGACAAGGATTTAGCTCAGAGATTAGTGAAGAGAAAGAAAGAAAAAAAATATTTAAAAATTGTTGTTATGACCTATTATATTCCCATGTTTTTCTTGGTCAGAGTGCAGGGTTGCAAAAGTCCATCCCGATGTATTTAGGCAAAAGGAGAAGAGGGGTATTTAAGTTGGCTAATGAACAGAATCACTGTCAAAAGTAATTCAGATATTGCGTAGCTGATCCTGAGTTCTAAATCTGTCAGCTCTTCCAAGGAAAAGGACTTAAGACTGCATGGTTGGAAAGTCTTGGGGTTGGTTTGGTTTTGTTTTTTCCCCCCAGGATCCATGATTTCAATTAGGGAAACAAACAAACAAAAAAGCAACAAAGAAATACCAAAGCAGTGTATCAGTGATTGTGTGAATTCAAAAGCAACAGAACTGATTGCATAAAAGTATTGTAATAGGAAATCAGCCCAATTTGCAATCTCACCTTTGCACTAATTTTGAGCACAAAATTGGGAAAAAAATACAGCCAAGATGATCAAAATGCAAATTGGACCATGGTTACTGGCAATGTTTAGTGTTTCAACAGACATTAGATGTGACAGGATTACAGAAGAGAATGGAGAAAGCTTAAGGAGAAATACTGTTCAGTCCCTCTTGCAGGAGTGGAAACTGCGTCCCATCCAGCGGGAAAGGCAGCATTAGTGCACCTACACCACAGAGCTGTGGGACTGCAGGGCAGAGCCTGAGACTCCCAGTGTCCACAGAGAGGGAATTCTGGCTCTGGTTTCCCAGGTGGCAGTGACAGTTCTTGTGCTGCTGCCTGCACAAAACGTTTTGGTTGCAGTTGGGGAGTTGGGGTTTTTTTAATCCAGTGCTTGTCCACTGCAAAAGCCATGAAATGCCCAAAGCAGGCATCAGGTGCCATAACTGCCCTGAGAGTGCCCCTCCTGCCAGGTGACTGTTGTCTCATTCACACTGTGCATATCACTGGCTGTAACTGAGGTCTGTGCCATCCATGGGAAGGGTGCTCCCCTGGGCTGCTTCTCTGCAGCAAGTGGGTGCTTTTGTGAATCAGAAGAATTATGCTAAAGGTTTCTCAATGAGTGATGTTTCTGAGGCATTCAGTGGTGGAAAGTACTCTGTGAACTAAATGGATGGTGATTGGCAATTGCAGTGTGTGTTAAGATAGTAATACAAAGTCATCAGACATAAGATACCCAGTTGTAATTTACAGACAACCTAGAAAGCTGGGGTTTTTTCCCTAGGAATTTTTTTTCAGCTGAAATTTGGTTCCACTTAGTTGGAAGCAAACAAACAAAAAGGACTCAAAATTTGTTGCAGACTAAGATGCTGAAGCCTGCAGATGCTCTGTGACACTGATAATCCTCTTACTTTCACTGAGCAGCTGCAGACAGCTTCCAGTTCTCTGACTCCAAAGGAGATTTGGCAGTTTAGCTTTCTTTTACTTGTCCACTCTGCTTTCAAATTGTAGAAGCTGAGAAGTCAACCTGGGATCAGTAGGAGGTAGAAATAGGATTTTGCACTCGGTCTTTAATTCATTTGCTAAGAAATCTGTTAGAATGCAAGCTACCTCCCACTTAGATGAGATTAGCTCCTCTGTTCACAGCAGGCCTGAAAACCCGTAGAATAACAGGACTCTAGGGCTGGCCTTAGCTAGGAGACCTGGAAGCACAAGGCCCTTACCTCTAGAAATTCAGACCAATTTCTCAAATCCAGAAGGTGGCTAAAAAGCACACATTTTAGGCTCAACATTACAGCCCTTCCAGCCAGCTCTAGGTGTTATGCAGTGTGGCGAATCTGTATCTGTACCATGGATACCATGTGTACCATGTACCATCTGTACCATCTGCCTAATCCTTGAATGTATTCCTTTTATTCCTCCCCAGAATGTTTCAGTGCTAGAAAATCACCACTGGCGATCTACGATAGGGATGCTGCGGGAGTCACGGCTCCTCGCCCACCTGCCCAAGGAGGTGACGTAAGTGTCTGCTGGGGGAAAGGAATCCCTGGAACTGGCCCGTGGCTTCCATCTCTCTTCTTAAAAGGAGGCTGGCAAAGAGGCCCAGGATTCAGAGTAGGCTGAACTTCCAGCCCTCTCTTGGCGCCAGTGTGAAATCATGAGACAACGTTATATAGCAGAAGTATTTTCTGAGACGTTGCCGCTCCTGCAGCACAGGGCTGAGGCCACCTCTGCTGCTGGGAACATTAGGAGTCCCAGCA